TTTCTTAAGTCTACATAAGTAGCGCTACTAGCACTTATTAAAAATTTTTACTATTTTAATCTTATTTTTATAAGGGCTCTAACTTATATTTAAGCTTTAATCTCTTTTACTACTCTTAACATAGCTACAGCTATAGTAGTAGAAGCCTGTAAAAAGGCTTATTCTAAAGCTAAGTTACTTTTTAGAACTAATTTAACACTAGATCTTTGCTAACTTATAAGCTAAGTCCTCTACTAATAACTAGAAGTACTAAGTTAATATTCTTATATATTTATAATAAAAAACTATATTAGCCTTAATATAAGCTTTTATTAACTTAAGAGTAAACAGCATAAGTTATATTAATAAAAAACTAGTGTGTAAACTAAATTTTTAATTAACACTACTTACCTAAATAATTTACTTAACTAGATTTAATAAAAAATAACTTAAAAAAGGTTTTATTTTTTATACTATAACTATTATAATTACCTACTAACACTATAAGAAGCAGATTAAACTCTATGTAATAAACATAGAATATTATAACCTAATTCTAGAATAACTATAGCTATATTAGCATAAGGTTGCTTTTAATTACTAAAAGTAAGTTTTAAACTTTAACTTTTTTTAATACTAAGATATATGCTTATACTTACACTTAAACAACACTTAAATAGCACTTAATATAAAAAGTTTTTAAACTTACTTTTTAATAACTTAAAAAAGAACTACTTAAGTAAAGCTAATAAGCTAGGCCTTTTACTAAGATAGGCTATATAAAATAATTTAATAACTGCTTAAACTTAAAGAAAAGAAAGCTTTTAAAAAACTTCTACTTACTTAATTTAAACACAAACTAGGACTTAAACAGCAGATAAACATCTGCTACATAGAACCTGCCTTATTTATAACTTTAGCTTAATAACTAGATTATAAAATCTACACAGTTATAATTTCTAATATAGACTAAGCTTTAGCTCTTTAAAAACACACTAACTTAAAAATAATAGTCTCTTAAAACTACTACAACTTATTATATGTCTTTTTTTAAGATAAGTCTAATAAGCTTTTAATATAACATTTATATAATTACTAAATAACCTTTAAGCCTAGTAAACAACCTAGTTATAGGCTATTATATAGAATGTTACTAAATAAATTAAAAGTGCTTTAAAAATACCTTAATAAAAACTTAAAAAAAGGGTTTATTTAAGCTAGCTTTTTACTAGTAGTGTTACTTATACTATTTATAAAAAAACTTAGAAGTAGGCTTTAATTCTATGTTAACTACTAAAGACTAAATACTATTACTATTAAAAACTAATACTTAATTTTTTTTTTATAAAAAACCTTAAGCTAACTAAGTAAAGTAAAGTATTTTATAAAGTTAAATATTATTACTGCCTTTAATAAGCTAAAGATAGTAAAGAGTAATAAGTAGCTAATAGTGTTTTAGACCTAATATAAACTATTTAAGTACTTAGTAATGCCTTTTAGCTTAGCTAACACACCTAGTACTTTTTAACATTTTGTAAATAACTTGCTCTAACCCTACCTAGACATGTTCTGCACTATGTATATTAATAATATTCTAATCTATAGTAATAGCCTTTTAAAGTATAAATAGTATATACGCCTAGTGCTAAAAGCTATAAAAGAAGCAGGTCTGTAACTTAATGTAGATAAATATAAGTTCTACTAATTAAAGGTTATATATTTAGAATATGTAATCTTTATAGATAGCATTTAAATAGACTTTATTAAAGTTTAAACTATGCTAGATTAGTAATACTTAAAAAATATAAAAGATGTTTAAGCTTTTATAAGATTTACTAACTTTTACTAATAATTTATTAACAACTTTTTATAGCTAGTAAGCCTTATAATTACACTTACTAAAAAAAAAGTTTAATTTAACTTTAACTTAAATTACTAATAGTTTTTTAACTAGCTAAAGAAAGCCTTTATTAAAGCTTTAATACTTTACTACTTTAACTTTAAACTACTAATACTTATAGAAGCTAATGCTTTAGACTATGTAGTAGCAGAAGTTCTCTTCTAGACTAAGCTAGACAGGACTATTAAGCCTATTACATACTTCTTAAAAAGAATAAGTCCTGTAGAAAGTAATTATAAAATTTATAATAAAAAATTACTTACTATAGTACACTGCTTTAAATAATAGTAACTTAAACTAAAAGGTGTAGCGCATTTAATACAGGTTTTATCTAACTATAAGAACTTATAGTACTTTATAACTATAAAATAACTTAGCTACTAATAAGCTTATTAGTTTAAATACTTATTTTATTTTAATTTTAAAATTACTTATTATTCTAGTTAAAACAGAGGGAAACTAGATACTTTTATAAGGCAATTCTAAAATATTCTTACTTAAGAAAAAGTGTAAAAGGCTTAATACTAAACTTTACTTTAACTTAAGCTATTTTTAAACTTTAACCTAAATAAAATAAATTAAATAATTAATTAGATTATTGCTAATAAGTATTTAAATAATAAATTTATTTAAGAAACTTTAGACTTGCTTTAAAACAGCGCTAGTTAGTTAAAAAAGGTAACACTAGCTAACTATAAAAACTAAAATAGTAAGCTATATTACTATAACTAACTTATAATCTTTAATTCTAATAAACTAAAAATTAAACTACTTTAAATTATATATAACTTACCTGTTAGAGGACACCTAGGCAGAGAAAAGACTCTTAACCTACTACAGAGAGAGTACTACTAGCCCTGCATGTTCTATACTGTATGCTAATATGTATTATGTTGCTATACTTACTATAAAGTAAAAGCCTCTTAAAAAAGGTATAATAGCTTACTTAAACTACTTCTAATTCTTAAATAAGCTTAGAAAGATATATTAATTAATTTTATTATAAACCTACTTTTATCTAAAAAGTATATAAATATTATAGTAGTTGTTAATTACTTAACTAAGTATTAATACTTAATACTATGTTCTTTTATAACTGCCTCTAATATAGCCTAGTTATTTTACTAATACATATAAGTTTACTATAGCCTGCCTAACATAATTATATTAGATAGAGGTACATAGTTTATCTTAGCTTTCTAAGACAAACTTTATAAATAGCTTTAAATTATTTTTTATTTATTTATAGCTTTTTACCTAGAGACTAATAGCTAGACTAAGAATATAAACACTATAATAAAATAAGTTCTATAAGTGTATATAAACTACTAGTAAAATAACTAGGTAAAATAGTTAGCTATAGTATAGTTTAAAGCTAATAACATAATATTTAAATTAACATAAGTATTTCTATTTTTAGTAAACTATAGATACTACTCTTAAATAAAATTTAAACTACTTATAAATACTCCTTAACTAACTTATTAATTTATATAAGTAATAAACATAAATAGACTTATTAATAAAATTTAAAATATATTTAAATATATTTATAAAAAGCTTATATAAGCTTAAGCTTTTTAATAAAAGTACATAAACTAATTTTAAACCTTTACCTCTGTGTATGCAGCTAGCAAGAAGGTCTAGCTAGACACTAGAAATATCTAAATAAACTAATAATTAAAGAAACTTAATTAGAAGAACTTTAGCTTTTTTATAGTAGCTTATATAGTTTTATTACATGCTTACTAATTAATCCTACCTAACAGCATAAAGATACACCCTGTGTTCTATGTATTATTACTGCGCTAAGTAGCCCCTAAATTTAACTATCTACCTAAATAGCTAAACTTACTACTTAAACTTATTATTATAAATAATAAACTAGAATATGTTATAGAAAACATTAAATAAATTTAGTTTAATAAAAAAAAACATATTTATAAATACCTTATAAAATAGACTAGATATAATAAACTGTTATAAGAACTTATAGAAGCTTTATAAAAGAACTTTATAGTAACTTAATTTTATGCCTAATACTTATCTAAACTAAACTTATACTTTAATAAAAACAACTTAATGCTAGAACTACTAATGTAAAGGATTTCCTTCTTAATAAGGGGGGGGGTACTGTTATAGTATTCTCCCTAGATCCTAGACATAACTATATTAGACGTGTACTAGAGTATTATTAGTGCACATTTAACATAAATATAACATAACATAGACATAAACTTAAGCATAAACTGCCTTAACACTAACTAAACTTAGAACAGGCTTAATTTATACTTAAAGCGCTTAGACTTTTAAGCTAAGTATTTAATTACTAATTTTCTTCTAAACCTTTCTATTCCTCACACAATGTCTTGTACCTACTATAATACCTTACGTAGTAATTAAACTAGACCTCTGTGAAGCTCTATAACCTTACTCGTGCACAATCGTGACACATGTAGTGTACGTTATGTATGAACTCTATTATGCAGCTAAATTTATTAGCTAACTTTGCTACAGCTGCGCTAGCCTTCTACTTTAAAATAATTAAATCTTAAGCTCTTATAGATAACTTAGCGTTGCGCTAATAATTTACGCTTATCTCTTAGCTAAAAGAACGACGCTGCATGGTTGCGTAGGTGGTAGTTGATTAACGCGTTCATCGCGCGTTTTAGTGTTGGTGGCTTGGCGAACTAGACTTTTAGCGGCTGGCTGTAGCTGTAGTATATTACTTAAAAAGTGTTACGTTTTATTTAAAAGCCTAAAGTGTAAGCTATATCTAATATTTTTTTAACATATCTACGTAGTGTTATTAGGAATGCATTAGTGTAGGAAGAGTAGTTTAGTGTAGTCTTCGCAAAAGCGACTTAGCCTGTGGGGTACGTTAAAAAGGCGCACGTGTTTTGGTGGGGTGCGCAGCTCACTGATGGATTACGTAAACCCTTGTATGCTCAGGTTCGAAAGCGGAAATAGACTTTGGTGAGGTCACTTTTGGCCATAGAATATATCGCGTACACCTGAGGATCTAATACAGCTGTAAAGGTAGCCCTCAGTTTAGTGGAATTGTTTGACGTCCCAGTGAAGAGTAGAATTCACGCCGGGCTAAAGTTGCTCCAGAACTTGCTGCCATTTAGCAAGGAGTTGCACATTCGTGCACGGTATAGTACACGTCTGAGTTGTTAGTCTCTCTATCAACACAGATTGAATCCTGAACCACCGTCTTCCACTTCATGTCATCCACTCACTGCACCATCCCCTCAACTGTACCAACAGGCCTCTCAACAATCCTCACACACCCATCCACAATATCCTTCCTTGCATCCTCCGAACTCACGTTCTTCCCCCCAAGATACAACAACCACACCAGCCTCCCAACCCTCTCATCCCTAACCTCTCCCAAATTCACAATGTCCCCCAGCTTCTCCCCTCTATTCGTCTTCGTCAGCGGTTGATACAAGGCCCCTAACACCCCATCCTTATCCCTGGTGAGAGCAATAACGCTTCCCTTAGGCGCCTTCCCTCGCCCCTGAAAAAGGGCTTTGAAATCCTTCATCGCGAGTCCGAAGCTCTCGTCATCGAATTCATTTTGTTCTACTGGTTGTGGAAGCGCGATACGCTTCTCCTGCACAGCCTGTTGCCTCAACAAATCCTGCTGTTTCCGCTTCACCTCATCTGTGCGCGATGCTACACCTCTCATCCATCCATCCTGCAAATGCTTGAAATCCGTGCCTCGGGCAGGGACAACCCTCCATGCCATTTCCACGGCCTCGGTCCCCTTCTTGCTCAAAATAGTCTCCCATATTTGGCTCGATTTGTCAGGATCAAGGAGGGAGGACCTTAGGGCTCCTTTTTCGTCTGGGATTAAAGCGGATGCAGACGGGTTAATGGTGTTTATGAGGTGGTTTTGGAGAGTAGAGAGAGAGGAGGTTTTTATGTAGAGGCCGACGATGTAGACTTGGACTTTTAGGAAGGATACCTTGCGGATCCCTAGGCCGAGGAGCGTGTATTCTGCTGTAGAGGCCGCCGCAGATTCGGGGGCAGTCAAGTTGGAATTGGGGAGGGAGATTGTTTTCGGGAAGTATGGGACGTAAGAGGTACCGGTTGGAATGAGCTCAATGGTATCTATGTCCGTGCCTTTGGGATCTTCGGAGGTTTCAGGGGCGGCGAGGATTTTGTCGCGGGGGCCGACGACGACTTTTTTACCTTGGAAGGTTTCGGTGGCGGACTGTGGGCTGTCGCATTGGGTTGGCCGAATGAGGTTCCCGATCTTGCTGTCGGGTTCTGTTTTTGGGAGGTTGTGGTTACTGTCTTCTGCGGGGGTGTCTTTATTTTCCTGCGGCATCGGCCAGAACCGCACGATTATCATAGGCGCAATCATGGATAATGCGGCGCCGAGGGCAAGCCAGTTTCGTCGACGAATGTAGTATGCGCGACGCATGGCTTCAGCTCGATGGAGGGACACATTCTCGAGTTCAGGGCGGCGGCTGCCCTTATCTTTGAGGAGGGATTCTGCTTCTGCTTTAGACCTGGGGAGGGGCTTGTGGGAAGAGAGGTGGCGGTATTGCTGCCGTGGACGGGGACCGGGAGGGGCATTGAGGCAGCGGATGATGGATCGGCGTCGGAGGGTTCGTGTGGCGTTCATGGAGGGGGCAAGAATTGGCAGCATTGGGGTAGCGGATGGAGGTGAGAGAGCAGGGAAGAGGTTGGGATGGGATGATGAGTGAAGTGAGGTGAGTGAATGTCTGGAGCTTGGACCCTCGCTAAATCGAGAGAACCTGGGAATATGATGTAGTGCGCCAAGGCTGGGGTTGAATTCGCGTGGTGAATGATCGCGTCGCGTCGACACGCAGCCTGAAATTACAGCGTGTATAATCGGCGACGACGTCAACATATCCATCCGCATGCCGCCGACTTCAAGGAAACGACGCGCAGTGAGTTGATGCTCAGTTAGATTTCTACTCGAAGCAGAGGCTGATGTCCGTAACAGCCAGTCGACGAGGAGGATGGCCCCATCTCCACACAGGCATCGCAGAGGAACCGTAATCGGGAATCGCCCCTAGATGGTGACGAAGATGTGGAGGAGGAACAGGGGAGCGGAAGCGGAAGTATAGCCCAGCTATCAAAGAGTTTGGTGCGATACGCTTTAGCATGCGAATATGCACGGGTTCCCATCAAGAGGCAGGATGTCAGCCAGAAAGGTACAGAGTTCGGGCAGAGTTGCGGTCCGTCGGTCGCTAATGGCTGTAGTGCTGGGATCACATTCACGAGCGTTTAAAGATGTATTCACTAAAGCTAACGGACTGTTGATTGAGGTATTTGGCATGGAAATGGTGGAGCTGCCGAACAGAGAGAAAGTGACAATGAGGCAGAAGCGAGGTATGCAGCTCCCAGCTCCCAGCTCCCAGCTCCCAGCTCCCAGACTCCTACAAATCTCTCATCTAATGCATTTCTATGCATTTCTAGCGGCCGCCGCATCAGAGTCACAATCAAAGACGAGCGGCCAGTGGGTACTGCGAACCATGCTTCCGGACAGATATCGCATCCCAGAGGTTATCCCGCCGGCCAGCATACCTACCAGCGAGACGGAGAGCTCCTACGTCGGGTTCTACAGTATGGTCATAGCCCTGATATCGCTCTCTAGGGGCACGCTGCCGGAGTCGAGGCTCGACCGGTTCCTCAAGCGTATGAATGCGGAACAGTCTACACCTGTGGACAGAACGGACAAGGTGCTGGCGAGGATGATCAAGGAAGGCTATATAGTTAGAATCAAGGACTCGTCTGGTGGTGAGGATGTTGTGGACTACATGGTGGGACCGCGGGGCAAGGTCGAGGTGGGTGAGGAGGGGGTAGCCAACTTGGTCAGGACGGTGTCGGGCAGCGCAATACCGGACCTGGAGCAGCGCCTCCACCGAAGCCTAGGAATCAGTGGGAGCGGCGCGCCGGTTCCGTCGCAGAGGGCGGTGAATGACGCGGGCGGGGCGTCGACGCAAGGTGCAGTGAGGCGAGGAGCCGGACGGCCACGAAGGGGAGGTGCGGCGGACGCAGATGAGTAGGACAGGTCGCGGGCAGCTGAAGAGTACCAGCAGGCAGTCCAATAATATAAGAACGCGCACAGAGGCAGCCAGCGTGATTTGTCAGCGTGACCACGGCGTTCTTGGTGTGGTATTGCGCTGCTGCATGCCATCAATCAAGGAAGCTCGCCCCTCTTCTCTTGCTCTGCCCAGCGCGCCAAGTCCTTCTGGTGCTGTCGCCCCAGCGAGTGAGCCGCCCGCGACTTTTCACCTTTTCACTCCACCCGCCCTCATTCAGATCACCCCCCAAAACCCGCTCCGAAATGATGCTGCCCGCCCGCCACACCACCACTCCCTCCTCATAGACCCGCCCCGACTCTGCGACAACAGCCATGGCCAGCATCAATTCCCTCCTCAACCACGAACCGACGCCCGACCAGGCGCGGCACACCACCGGCCAGGACAAGCTCGTCGCGAAAATCACCACCTCGGAGGCTGCCGACGCCCTTACCACCCTCTCCCAACTAGGGCGCGGCGGGCAGTACGCTCCCGTGCGCGACCACCCTTCTCCCACCACCTCCTTCACCCACGCGCCCCGTCGAACCAGCAGCTTCGGCCTCCACGTCTCACCCGTAGAGCCCCTACCTCCTATTGAGCAGCATCTCGCACATTCCCCGACCCTCGACCAGTACCACCACCACGGCTCCAAGTCTCCTGAGGAGCAGAGGCGCCAGTCGCTGCTCAATCGCACTTCTCCAGCACCCGTCCTCGCACCCATCCAGTCTCTCTCCGCCATGCTCCACGACCGCATCCACGACCAGTCGCAGCAGATGACAACGTCGTATGGGAAGGATGTGTCTCAGATGGTGCCACCGCCGTCGCGCTCGAGCGATGGGGGTGAATTTGGACGGGATCGCGCCCAGGACTGCGAGCCAGCCTCTGTGTGCGACGAGGGCACAATCTCACAGATCCGCGAGACTGACGTCTCGGTGAGCAGCACGCTGCATCCCATCTCTACAAACCTGCCGCTGTCTCAGGCCAGCGATTCGCAGTCACAGTTGCAGTCACCCCTACCCTTCATTAAGCACGAGCCGTCCAGTACGCCGCGAGAGGCAACGCCCTCGGCCGCTGTGGCCCAGTCGGAGCGGCATCATTCAGTCTCGGCGGAAAACATGGACGTGGACACGCTCAAGGCGATTGAAGCGGTCAAACAGAGCGAACTGGGCCTGCGCGTGAAGAAAACGCCAAGCGAGAGCGTTGCGTCTCCGACTGATCCAAAGCCCACCCTCGCTCCGTCAAAGAAACGACCAGCTCCAGGAACGTCGGCCATCAAGAAGAAGGGTACAGCAGCCCCAAAGAAGCCTGCGTCGAAGAAGCGAAGACTCGATAACGAAGTACGTCATGAGCGCCGCTCTGGAACACCAGGCTCACGCACATCCAAGGTCCCTACCGCAAAAAGCACAAAGAAAGGCTCACAAGCAGGCACCCCCGTCGCCGAATCCTCACCCGCACCCGACCACTCCTCCCAGGCACATGCATCCGATGACGAAGCCGACTCTTCCGACGACAATACTCTCTACTGCATCTGTCGCAAGCCAGATAATCATACTTGGATGATCGGATGCGATGGCGGCTGCGACGACTGGTTTCATGGCGCGTGCGTGAACATGCTGCAGGTAGACGAGAAATTAGTTGATAAGTTCATCTGCCCTAACTGCGAGGCTGTCGGGCGAGGACAGACGACGTGGAAAGCCATGTGCAGGCGGGAAGGATGCGGCAACCCTGCGATTATCGAAAAGGGCAAGGAGAGCAAGTACTGCTCAGAAGCATGCGGCATACAATTCTTCCAAGATCAGCTGCAGCGAACGGCCGGAGCCAAGAAGACAGCAGCAGGCAAAAAATCAAAGAAGAAAGGTGGCAAGGACGGCGATGATTCAGCGCAGGCGTCCGCTGAGGAAGACGAACCGATACCTCTTGGCGGAGTTCTCAGGGCGAAGGATCTCAAGGCCCTCGCTGTTGGATCAAAAGATATCGAAGCCTTCAAACGTCTGGGCGCTGGAGTCCTTTCACCCCCTCAGACCGCTTCGCCTACTAAAGCGACATTCGGTGGCGTCAATGGCGCGATAAACCCTGCGGAAGATCTCAACCTCACCCCGGCCGAGACCATGCACCTCAACGCACTGCACACCGAGAAAACCGACCTGAAAGTCCGGCTTGAGGTTCTGAAAGACCGCGAGAAGTTCGTCAGCATGGCGCGCGAACAGGCACTACGGCGCGCTGAGAAGGAAAAGCTGAAAGTCAAGGAGTTCTGCGGGTATGACTCTAGATTGTCGTGGTCAGACACAGAGTTCCTCCAGTGGCGGCGGAGCAAGACGGGACGTGCGGCGTTCAAATGGAATACCCTGTCTCCAACCCCCGAACAAATCGCCGCAGTCGACAATGAGATCACTGGTGGTGGTGGTGGTGATAGCGTAGTGGTGAGCATGAGCGTCGACCTTCCCAACCCCGTCAGTGTCAACGTCGAGGAGAAAGCAAAAGATATGGTCTGTGTCAAAAAGCGCTGTCCCAAGCATCCTAACTGGCAGAAACTTCAACTTCAAGACGCCCGCTTCGAGGAGATGGAGGTCGTGGAAGCTATCAAGGAGTGCGAGAAAGAAGAACGGTCGGTCAGCGAACGAGCTAGGACAAGGGGCGCAAAAAGAGCGATGGCGGCTGATCTTGTTGGAAATGGGGATGGGGGTGTCGATGTGGATGTGGATATGGAGGAGAAGAATCGGGAGGGGTGGGTTGAGGTTGTTGGAGCGTGATGATTGTTGAGGTTTGCGCGCAAGTTGGATACCCCCCATCTTTTCTCTTCCCTTCCGCGTCTTTATGATATGTAGCATGCGGTTGGCTGTTCCTCGTCCTCAGCGTTGACATTGGCGTTGGAGGTCGGTCTTGACAAAAGCTGAAGCGTATTGCTTGGTTGCTTGCTCGTGCAATTCGGCACACAGTACAGTACACTATTTTCGCCTCGTCGGCTACTGGCTCTCGGCTAACGGATTCTGGTCGAGCTGTTATGGTCCCGATGTGGCTAGTTATCTGGTTATTCTCTTTTTCATCACTTGCATGCATATCGCCACATGGCTGGCTTGAATGTCTTCATGTTTTACCTACCTGCTGTAGTTAGAGATCATAATGAAATATTGGTTGGTTGATCAATTATTGATACTAATAAGTGCTTTTTATCTTACGGTAGAGTGGTATTGCAATGAAGCCGTACTAATACCTGTGAAGTATCTGGGGAGAGCACCAAGCATGAGGAACTGAGTTGATGGTTAAAGGAGCGAATCTAAGGATCTATATACGCTCAAATCAGCGAGTTGGGCAGCACGGACGTCAAGCAGGCAGCAGATAATTACGGTAGGCAGCAGGAGTTGATGAATACGAGCAAGTGGTGGAGCTCGGAGAGCGCCGTAACGGCAAAACAATATAATTATTATAAAGAGTGGATAGAAAGAGGGGCTATCGAGATCTAGTGATGGGGGAGTGATAACTAGTACCTTTTTCCCTTTTTCTCTCCCAACGCTTCCACCTTTAGTCCACGCTAAGGGCTTGCTCACGTGCTCCATGGGCGCTTCCTTGTATAAAGTCGATGCTAGTCTTGTTTCCTTACTCCATACTACACTGTATTTTCCTCTCAGAAAAAGAGTAAATGCTACCGCTTTCCATGTGACGTCGCAAAAATTGGCCTTGGGATTTTGTCTATGTTTCCGAAATAATGTTTAGGGTAGAACAGGCTGCATGCACATCTAGGCTATAAAATGTCCTGGTTAAGATCTACGTGGAGCCTAGTCTCATATTCTGCAGAAATGGGAATGGAGAAAGGCAGTATAGTAGCAGAAATGGAGGGGGGTTTAGTAATAGTGATGTTCTTCCCACCTTCTTCTCCACCATTCACTTCATTCTCTTCATTCTCTTCCTCCGGGTGGAGTATATAAACCCCCTTTCATCGACACGGAAGACTTTCGCTTCTCTTCCCACCATATCTTTCACTGGGGCTTCGAAATTGGTTCTTCCCCAGGCTCCATGTAGATCTCGAAAATCTTTATCGAAAGATCAAAAGGCTTCAAAACTAGGTCCCGGCCGAGCTATGCTTCCCGCTCTGCTGGCGGTCTGTCTAAATGTACGAGGACGACAATCCATATTATTGGGTGGACTGCTGGACTCTAAATTCACCTTCGCTCAAAATCTATGTAAGTCTCGAAAAGCCGTGCCACATCAATGGAGTGTTTGAGACTCCACGACCTATTGTTCCATCCTTCCCACTTCGCTGTCGAGCTATCGAAAATCGCGACAACGAAATTGATGTTGGGTTGTCCGCTTCGAATCAAGGGAGCTGAAGGAACTGCGCTTCGTCTACCGGGGCTCGAAAATGATATTCCCTAAGAATCTATGTGGGTTCTAAAAGCCGTACTGCAACAACGCAATGTTTCAAAATTCTGGCATCAGTCGAGCTATGCTTCCTGGCTTGTCTAACAGCCTGCGTATCAAACGTATCGAGAGTATGATGTTGTGCAGTCTGCTGAGGCACTAAAATGGTCTTCCAACAAGGCGTATGCGGGTCTTTATATCTGTGCCGCAACAATGGGATATTTGAAAACTTCAGTGCTAGTTGAGCTGCGCCACTCGTTTATTCGTCTCTTGAAATTGCTTGAGCAACATGTTTTATAACTTCTGGCGGGCTGCTTTGGATTGGGAGGCTAGCATAGTTGTTGTTGATGGTGAAGATGAGGTTCTTGACTCGCAAATTGTGATGACGATGGAAATTTAGAAATAATCCCGACCTCTGTCCGAATCGATTGCCAATTTGATGAAGGGACCACGGGGAGTGTATAAAACTCTTTCACACCAACATGGTCGTCTTCACTGCGATATGGAAGCTTCCTTCGGGGTCCAAAAATTGGTTACTGCTAGCCCCACATGGCACATGGCCTTTCCAAGAATTTCGATTGACGGGTGTATATCTTCAAAAGTCCACGAGACAACCACTGACTGACTCCACGGACCATTGTTTCCGAAAATCCCACCATAGCCCAACTATAGTGGCCAACTCTGCAGGTTGGGGGTCCTAAAGAAGGGGTGCTTTTAATGCTAGCTGCAATAAGGGGTCGGAAGTTAGGGTTATTAGTCCTTTCGGTCGTTTCACTTTCTCAGTCTCCACGGCTTTGTTCCTTGGCCTCGGTCAAAAATGGCATGTGGAAGAAATGAATATGACCACAAAGTATACAGCATGGAAGAGCCCCTTTCCCCTGGTTACTAGAACTTAATTTGGTGTACGTGTTGAATACAAAGACTTCGATACTGGTCTCCTTGAAATTCACGATATCTTTTGCTGGTCCTCAGGTCTCTAAGATGAGGGACCATGGCGCAAAACGGCACTGGGAGGGAATTGACATAGGCATCAATTTATGCGGCGCCGAAGAGCTCCCAATCACCACAGCTGAGTTTAGCGTAGGAGTTGGGGTATAAGAGGTCTGAAATCCTTATCTTCTCGTCCTCCACAGTACCCTTGTGTTAGCCCTTGCGCCTCTGAGAAGAAAGATCTACTTCCGAATAGCATAGCAAAATTCACCTTACCACAAGGAACATGCAGCACAAAAGTTTTCCCCGGGCTTCCAAGCCGCACGCGCGTATCCCAATCTGAAAGTCTTACTCTACGTGACCTATGGTGTTGGTTTAGTTTCCTTGGACTCGGAAGCCTTGCTGAGGAATATATAAACCCCTCGGGCGGTCTTACTCTCAATCTCCATAGACATTGGACTGCATCTCTCGCGATCAAATGATAGTTCCAAGGTAGATATATTATCCAAGAAATATCAGAATCGGAGAAAATGCTTGCGTCGTAGCTTTCAGTAAAGCGCCAAACTGTGTATTTGTCCTGCCTTATAGGACAGGATAAATTAGACTCAAGGCACACCGTTCTATAAGAACCGTTCAGTGTCATTAGGAAGGGGTCAGAACGCCAGAGGACGGATTTCAACAAAACCAGGATTTTGCCCACGTAAATGAGATAGGAACACTGAATTTACGAGGATGCGAACTATCTACACCACTCTGGTGAGATACGGGGGTTAGATTGGTCAAGTGATTGTGCCAAGAACTTTTAAGGTCACATGGATGAACACGGTGCACAGTTGGTCCGATATGTCGCCCATCCGAACTTTCTCCCTAATGATTCAATTTTATATACTGAACAGTTATGTAGTCGGTTCATGCAGTTTCCTCTTGGGAAAGAGGCAGAGTCTAAAAGTGCTAATTACCGAGACGAAAGGAAACGTAGTTCTCTTCCAAATAGGTCCTCTTGAATCATTCTACAGCCAACGCCAACTCAATTCGTTCACATACAGAATTGAGGAAAGGTAGGCTTTATTTTCACTGTATATCTTTCTTTCCTGCGTGCGTGATAAGATTTCTCTTCTGAACCTTCGGTCTGAGCAACAGGCTCTAGAGATAGTAATTCCGCGATTCCCGCCTCAGTTCTAGTGCTCTCATTTCAGACTAGCCCATGAGCTTAAGTTAACCGCAATTTCCCCTCCTTCTTTCATGTGGTCCGTTCACTTCTCTTTCGTATTCGATCTTTTCGTTCCAAGACTCCCTAAAACTGCAACGCTCCCGGAGAGCAGTTTTCGCTCGCTCATTTATGCCTATATACACACGACTATTTCTATACCTTCCACATTAGCCCCCAGAAATTATCGTTACATCGAATCACTGGGTTCACCTAGCATGTCGGACTTTATGGACTTGTATCTGAGCTTGGATGTGGATCATTACACTGGAAAATATTTCTACGCAGTCCTTGGACAAAGCACTACAACCTTTAAATCTCGATCACCAGCAGGATGAAAATTATTTCCCTTCTAAGTCTCCTAGGCGGGTTACACGGTGCTGCCGCACATTGTAAGTTTCAGAATTCCGCCCTAGCAGAGCCCTACTAATTGCCACTCCCAGATGTCTTCGCAAAGCTTTCGCTCAATGGTGGGCCCGTGAGCCATGTATGGCAATACATAAGGTAAGAAGGCCAGGTCTTCTTGACATCTAAATGATTTTAATTCTCAAACCCGCAGGAATCTTACAGACGGCTATGCATACTCTGAAATCAACGGTTATCATGGTAACTTTGTACCTTACTACGACATGTACGATCCAAACATCCGTTGCGGGCGTGGTGCGGCGGCGCATGGTCCTGGAACTGAGACCTTAGCGGTCAACGCCGGCGACGAGCTCGCTTTCTTTTCTACAATTCGAAACGAGTACACGGGCGTTGAGGTTCACCTCTCCATTCTTTATCCCTGTTTGAATCTAATGAGATGAAGGAAGATACTCTCATCAGCCACGAAGGCCCCGGGCAAGCATACCTCTCGAAGTCCCCCGCGGAACTAGATGCCTATACCGGAGATGGGGACTGGTTCAAGATCGGATCTGTTGGGGCGTTCAATGATACACGCTGGGCTCTGATATCCAAACCCTCAGTACGCCGGTGATGTCTCTCGGTTGCATAGAATGCTAATATTGCACAAGATGAATTTTACGATCCCAAAAACAACGCCACCTGGAAAGTACCTAATGCGGGTTGAACATATCTTCTCTTTCAGCTCCAAATTCAACGATACTCAGTTTTATGTCTCATGTGCTCAGATCGACGTTAAAGGCCCTGGAGGAGGTGGGTCCTTCTTGTCCTCTTCAGCAACTGGGTGCTGATCTCATTTCTAGGTAATCCAGGACCACTGGTGAAGTTCCCAGGCGCTTATGATGTCTTCGATCACGGTATGTAATCAGACCTCGCACTTTCGTGTATACTAACGTGAATCTTAGCTCTTTGGGTACCGTATCACATTGGGGCAATAAAGGCGTGGAATTTAACAGGCTATGTTGCTCCGGGACCTTCGGTCTGGAGTGGGTAGATGATATTGGAAGCGTTATCGAAGAGAAACAGCCTTTCATCATCTATGTGCAGGACTAGTTGCAGATCGTAATCCTTATCCGAAATTATCCTGTGCGTTGCACCCAGAAAGCTTGGGGTCTGGTATGTCGACGACTTAGCTTAATTTAATATTTCGGATAGGTTCCCGAGTTTAGAAAGGGTCACGAAGCGACCCTATCTAATCCCCCTCTAGATTGAACGACTTCATGCACTTGAATACTCACGTGCGATCCTCGGGCCTGGGTAAGAATATAGGCAATGGTAAGGCAGACTTCAAGCACAGAGCGAACGTATCAGCTAGTGTGTGCTCCCCTCAAGTCTCGTAATACACGTGCGATTCGGAGGATATGCATTTTTATCGCGACTGACACTGGCCGCAACCCTTCTTTTCATTTTCCAGCTCGTCTAAGATGTGGTTCCCCCTCTTGTCCGTGGCTCTCATTACGCTCTTCTTCGGCGATCTTCTTGCCCAAAAACTCACTCCTTCTAGTGGCACCATAACAAAATCACCCCGCGTTGAGCACTGCCCATTCGATGTGAAAGCCTCACTAGCTCCCGATGTAACCTCTCTCCAGGTCACATACACGGCGGCCGGATCGCAAAAAGCCCTTTGGTCTCAAACCGAGGTCAAATGCTATACGCGAATCCTATTCGAGTTTGAGGATAGCAACTATTCAATCACCGTGCAAGAAATCGAGTATCAAGGCAAATTCCAAGGGAACGGAGAAGGAAAGATCGAGGCCTTACTCGCTTGGGATAGAGATTTTGGACCGGTAAGTGATCCATTCACTCAGGCACACAACCGTCCATCCAACCAATGACTGACATTTCCAAAGACACGTTTCACGCCTATCACACTCTCATCCAGCGTGTCTACTGCAATCGCACGAAACACCAGCCACGCAACTCCCTCAGAGTGCATTGGTTGGGATGGAATGTTCGTCAAAGACGCTAAAGTCAATTTGCAGACAACTTTTAGCGGATCTGCAGCAGATTTCGGGACGAATGGTGTTTTGACACAGCGCTTGAAGTTTTCTTGGGTTGACCCAAAGCTCGCTTGCTCCGCCCATTGCCTGTTCCGTGACATTGATGGGGGAGTGTATGATCCAGAAAAATGCGTGAGCAGTACTCTAATAGTATAAGAGTGGAACTGATATATTATAAAGAAATAATAAATAAAAGATCACGGCAGATTTGTGAACTAGAGGTGGTGGTTCTGTGGGGCTAGGAAGAAGTAGCACCTTTACATGCCTCAGTATCCAGTATGCTTCCTTCCGGTCATGATTTAGCCACTTGGTGACTTTTTTTTTTATTTCTTCCCTTTCATATACTCGAGAATGGGGAAGGGATTTGAGCAAGTCGAATCTACTCACGTCTTCGCGGTCCCCCGCTCTGATGGCTGATTAGCTTTGGCTTTGCTGCTGGTGCTATCGCCCATAGCTATCGAGCCCTGGTGGTGGTTTTCTAGGCTCAAGAGGGCCAGAGTGTAGATCAGTGAGAATTTTGCGAAGTGAAGGTCGAGATGACTGAGATTGAGGTGCCCTGTTTCCGCCAGCGGGAGTAGCTTGCAGAGTTGGCAACAATTAAGTTAATTAAGTTAGGGTGAATTGCTTAATTAATTAACAGATCTAGCATGTTTTAATTAACTTAATTAACTTAATAGCACAAATAAGGCTTAACTTAATTAACTTAATTAATAGATTACATAGTAATTAACTACTGTATATCTTATAGATAGTCTCTAGGTCTTTAGGAGAGATAGCATTACTACATAGACTTTTTATTAACTTTGTAGGCTTTAAGCTAAGGCGCTTCTAACTACGTAGGCTTTATAGAGCAGAGAGAAGGTCTACCTTTATGCAGAGACACCTTGTCTCTAGTAAATTACCTAGCTTAGAGAAGGTTCTCTTACAATTAGTAGCTGCTATAGAGATGCTAAAAATTATAAAAGTAAAGCATAATAAGATAAAGTACTTATTAGCCTTTTTTATTTAGTATAGAATTAGGTTACACACAAACAGGGACTTTTTTAGTATAAGTAACTTAATTATTTAGCGCTTAAACTTATTGTTGCATACAGCTATCTGTCTATATATATCCTTCTGCTGTGCTAGCTAGAAGGTTAACCTTTTAGCAAACGCAACAGTTATAAGCCTAGTTTGCAGCGTAGTGTAGATAGTTAGCGCATAAAAAACCTTCGCATCTCTGCTCTTTACTCTACATAGGATTGCATTATCTTTAAACACTATGTGTTTAATTCCTACACTTAGCAAAAAGCATTTAGGCAGTGCGTCTATTACAGAGGCTACCTTACTAGATCTGTCTCTAAGTTTTGTTGCTTAGGCTAGGAGAGTGTATTAAAGTTATTTTACTATGTTTTACCTCTCTTGTTCTACAGTTTAAGCTAGGGGGTGTGTCGCATACAGCTATCCGTCTATATATATCCTTCTGCTGTGCTAGCTAGGAGGTTAACCTTTTAGCAAACGCAACACTTATTATAGTAATAAGTTAAGTAGGTGCTGTTACCTTATAAAGTAGCTCTTATAAAATCTAACTAGCTTCTAGCTAGCCCTGTATGTGCCTTCTTTAGCAAAGGCTTTAAAGTACTAATAGAAGAGGCAGCGTCTTTAAACTCTACTTATAAGTGTTAAAAGCTAAGGTGGTAGTTATTTAGCTAGCCTTTATATATATAAAGTCTTTTGTAAAGCTTTTTATTATAATTAAGAGGCACTGCTTACACTTTATCTATGTAACTTTTTATACATAGGTAGAGATAGTAGGTAGTGTAATAAGCTAAAGTGTTCTTTAACTTATGTATATAATTAATAATCTTAATATAAGCTATGTTATAAGTAGCTTAAATACAGTTCTTTAAAGTGTTAACATTATTAAAGTTAATATTATTATACTAAAAGAGCATTTTATTAAGGGTAGTTGTAAGCTAATTAAGCGTAGAGAGCACCTTCTAGATAGCGCCTAACGTGCTAGCTACGCCTCTGCTCTTTATATAGGTAGTAGCCTCTTTAAAAGGCTATAAGATTTTTTAGTACTTTATAACGTACTTTACAGGCAAGTTGCTTACACACCTAAGTTGCTTACTTTTGCTAAGACCCTACCCTAATAAACTCTATTATAGCCTATAACAACCTGCTCTAGCACTATATAGTACAGTATAGCCTAGAATATTATTTAGATACTACTTTTACTTCTTACTTACATATTTGCGTGTTATGCCTAGTCTAATTACACTATCTATAGCGCCTTTAAAATAGCTTACTTACTTTAGCTTATACTTACCTTTTTACTTTTCTTTTATTACTACACACTTTAAACTTCTTTAAAGCTATTAAGTGTAAGCTTTTTTAAATTATTAAGGTTTTTTTTACTTTAATTTACTTTTTTTATGTAATTTATATTATGTAGTAGCTTTATTAGCTGCTTAAAGCTTAGTAATTTTTTATTACACTAATACTAGCTTATATATAATTATTACTACTTTTTTAAAACTTTCTTAAACGCTTTAACTATAAAAGTTAGTAAACTATTTATATGCTTTTAAATTTTTATTTTTATAAGTATTAATTATAACTTAAGTTTTAAAGTATTACTTAAGGTTTATAACTACTAGAGCTTATTATATATAAGTAGTAGTAGTAATAGAGTGTGTAACTTTACATTAAAGCTTATTATAACTTATTATAAGTTAAAAAAAACTAATCTAGCACTTTAACACTTTTTTTAAATATTACTAAAAGTAATTATAGTATTATAGGCTGCTTTAAAGTATAGTAAAAACTTTATTTTTATAATATAAGTAATTTAGTTACACATAAGGTTTTTAGCTTAGCACTTATATCTGTTAGGGCAGGTAATTGGTGAAATGTCTTGGCATTCTCGCTTTGTTAGATTCCCTACCTAAATTACTAGCTTAGTTAGACTAGCCTATAATAGTTGTCTATTACATGTAATTTAGGCTTAATCTTGCTATTAAAGTAAGGCTATTAAAATTGCCTAATTTAGTAATAATAAAGCTAACTTTTAGTGTTTTGCAGATAAGCTTTGTAGACGCGCCTCTAGCTAAATCTACGTGTTTAAACAGCTGTAGCAAAGCACCTTTAAAAGCACCTATCTAGGTACTAAAGAAGGCGCAGAAGGCGCAGAAGGCGCAGAAGGCTTATCTTAAGGCTTATAAGTAAGCTACTGCTGCTAAAGAGTGTTTAGAAAAGTTAGTTTTCTTTAAAAAAGCTTATCTCTTACTTCTAGCTTTTATTATTATTAAATTACTAATATTTTTACCACCTGCTCTGCTACTTGCTCTGCCACCTGCTCTGCCACCTGCTTAAGCTTTATTACCTGTTAAGCCTAAGCAGCTATAGTATAAGATTAATATATAATATTTGCTTTATGTTAACACTATAAGAAGACCTAAAAATGTAGAGAGCACTAAGCAGTACTTTCTTCTCTTATTATTAATAAAAAATAGGGTAATAGCATTAATTAATAATCTAGTGTTTATAATTAACAAATAAGAGTAACGTACCTAACGGGTTGGCCGGCCACACGGGTTGGCCGGCCACTTTTGCTAAGCCCCTACTAAAACCACCCTATTCTCTTGCAAAACAGCCCACTTTAGCCCTGTATAAAGTAATATAACATAAGATATTATTTAAAGTCTACTTCTGCTACTTGCTTACACATACATAAGTTATGCCTAGTCTAATTATACTGCTTATATTACCTTTAACTTAGCTTACCTTTTTTAGTGCGCACCTATGTCTTTAGCTTTTTCTTATTACTACACGCTTTAAACTCTTTTAAAGTAGTTAAACAAGCTTTATTTTTAACTATTAAAGTTTTTTCTACTTAAATTTACTTTCTTTTATATAATTTATGTTATATAGTAGCTTTATTTACTACTTAAAGCTCTATAATTTTATAGCCTACTTTATTATATTAATGCCTTAAATAACTATTGTTTACTTTTTATTACTTTGCTATATTACCTTTAGCTATCTTTATTTTTCTAAAGCTGTAATAACTGCTCTAGTTAATATCTAGCCTATTATAAAGCTTAACTTATTAAAGTTATACATATCTTTATCTTAAATACTATACTTAGCTTTTATGTTAGCTACTAGGCAAAACTAGCTCTAGATAACCTTTAAATTTTTATAAAGCACTTTTTTATAATTATACTTATAATTAAACTTTATTGTAAACTTAAGGCAGTGCTTAACTTATATACTAGGCTAGTTTAAGCTAACCTAGCCTAGATTACGCTCTATAGGCAAGAAATTAGCTATATTAGCTATAGCTGTAAGCTTAAAGAGAAATCTGTGTGTAATAAGCTTAAGTATGTACTTAATAACTACTTTTTTTCTTAAGCTTAGTTAGATTCCTTAATTTAAGCTAGCATTCTGCTTATAAAGGCTGTCTAGCGTGTTAATTACTTAGTGTTATGTAAGAGACATTATAGATAGCTGTAGTGTGTTATAAGAAGAGTTTTAAGTTTTATTTAAAAGCTTAAAAAGTAAGCTGTATTTAACATTCTTTAGAAGATTTAATCTAGTGTTGTTGTTAAGGCATTATGTAGATAGGTAGAGTTTAGTGGGGGCTTAGCAAAAGTAGCCGGCCAACCTGTTAGGTACGTTATACCTAGTAGAGTTATGTTATTTAGTTTAAGTGTAACAGAAGAGGTGCAACTTTCTAGTAGCTTCTACTTACTAATTTTAGCTTTATAAAAGAGACTTGCCTATTTAACACTGTTAATCTCTATTTTAAGTGTTATAAAGGTGCTACATGTGTTAAGTTTTAAGTAGAGATCTCTTTATAAGTTAATGTGTTAAAAAAGGCGTTTATATGTAACACATTAGTAAATAAGCTATCCTTACTGCTACTAAAGAATAATACCTTAATAATAGGTAAAAGGTGTACGTAGAAGCTTTTATGTAAAGCTTAGGTAATTAATTATGTTGCTGTTATTAAATCTAAGCTAGATTATTAGTTAGTAATCTATAAAATGTAGCAATGCAGCGTAGCTAGTTATAAGAACTTTAGAAGATAGTGTTATATCTATCTAAACAGTAGCTACTATAAGATTAAACTTATAAACGCTAAGTAGTAGTTATACTTAATTATTAATAGTAAGTCCTTAGCTATACTCTCTTATCTA